CTCCAGTGATGCGACGGCGCCCCCTGCTGACTGTGGCTGGAACTGCACCAAAGAGTGCTAAAAATTGAACTATTTGATTTTCTTTTTTTGCCGGTTTTATCGATTTTGTTCTTGAAGGGGATTATTGGTGGGTATAGGAGTATTGTTTGGTTGTTTTACTTGGTTTTCTTTTTCCCTCGTGTTACGTTAATACACACATACTTAATAAAGGGCTGTTATTTTTTCCTTTTTCCCTTTTCCATAATTTGCTTTCCTTCAATCGAAGCCTCTTAATTTCGGATCTATAATTGCTAAAGAAGAAGGTTTGGGTCTTTTTCTCCTAATCCATCCTCAGCAAAAGACCCTTGTCTCAATTAAACTGAGACAGTGCATTGGTCAGAAAACACTTACCATTGAATGGTGACAAGGGCGCTGAGGGGACTGAGCTGGGTGAAGGGCTTCACCTTCTTAAACACAGGGCAACACCTGGCCTCTTTTTTTAAATATTTTTCCTAGTGTTGTGTGCCTTATACTTCTAATTGCCATAGCCATAATGTGCTGGATGCCACTTTTCCTCTATGGAAATAGGGGAATATCTGTAGTTAAGGCATCCACCTGGACAACAGGCAATGTGAGGCTAAATTCTTCCTAGCAGAAGATGAAGGAATCTGTGTTCAGTGCTGCTTGGAAAAAACAGCAGAATTTTTTAGAGTTTGGATGCAGAATATTCTCAGAGCAAAAAATACAGGCCTGGTTGTGTTGCTTACAATTTTACATTTAATATAACTAAAATTTAAATTTTATTAATATCATTTACATTAATTATAATAATTGTATTTAATAAAAATTAAATAAAATTTAATACAATCTTAATTTAAACAATACAACTTCTATTTGTAAAAGTAGACTTACTCTTTGAGGTTCTGCCACCCAAACAGGGACAACTGAGCAGGATATGTCCCAGCCCCAGTAACTGCCTGGCATGATCAAGCAGATGAGAACTTCTTCAGGGTTACTGCCAGGTCTTGTGGCAGATTGGGAGCTCCAGGACATGACAATGGGCTGTCCCTGCTGGGAAGGAAGGTGCCAGGCAGCACAGGAGGGGCAGGGGATGGAAAGTGTCTCAGTTCAATGAGATTGAAGGGTTTTGCTAAGGAGGATGAGTCACAAGGAAAACCAAGCTCCTTCCTCCAAGCAATCATAAATCCGAAATCAAGAGGCTCCAATTGAAGAAGCATGGAGAAAGAAAAGATCACAGCCATTTATTAAAGGATATAGATGTATTGGCAAAACAACAAAAGAACACAAAACCAACTAAACAATAATCCTGCACCCAAAAGTTCCCTTCAAAAAGGAAATAGTACTTTTCGCCTTTTGGCGCACTTCTAACCACGATCAGGAGGGGGCGCGGTTGGATCTCTGGAGGAGCAGCGCCTGCAGGTTCTCGGTGGGGGCCGGCAGGGGGCACTGTGGGGCTCTGGCGGTGGCCGCGGGCGGCCCCAGTGCTCGGGAGAAGCAGAAATGGAGATCTCTTCCCCAGTGAGAAGGGGAAAAGTCCTATGAGGAGAGGCTGAGGGAGCTGGGGTTGTTTAGCCTGGAGAAGAGAAGGCTCGGGGGAGACCTCATCACTCTCTACAAATCCCTGAAAGGAGGTTGTAACCAAGTGTGTGTTGGTCTCTTATCCCAGGCAGGTCTCAGTAAGACAAGAGGGCATGGTCTCAAGCTCTGCCAGGGGAGGTTTAGGTTGGATATTAGGAAGAAATTCTTTACAGAGAGGGTAATTAGGCATTGGAATGGGCTGCTCAGGGAGGTGCTGGATTCTCCAGCTTAAATACCTGGAGGCATTTAAGAAGAGACTGGATGGCACTTAGTGCCATAGTCTAGTAACTGTGGTGGTAGTGGATTGTCATAGTTCTGATTGTAGCAAGGAATTTTGCCTTTCCTTTCCCCTTCTCCCCCCTCCCCCCCCCCCCCCCCCCCCCCCCCCCCCCCCCCCCCCCCCCCGCGTGTGTGCTGTTAACAAACAATCAGATAAACAAAGGAGTTAGCCTGGGTCCTAAATGACCAGACATTAGTCTCCTAGCAACGAAGGGGGAGGAATTGGAAAAGGCCAGAGTGTGTGTATGGAAAGGGGTGGGGTTTGGGGTGTTGGAGCTCAGCCCTGGGGGGTTGGAGCTCAGGCTCGGGAGCGGGAGGAGAAGGCTGCAGCACGCAGGAGAGACAGGCTGGTTTCTTCTTTGTCTTTTCCTGTGGGAGAGGAGTTTTTTTGCTGCTGTCTCTCTGCGCAGTTGTTTGCTGGTTGCAGGCTTGGTTTTCACCACGAGATCTTCACCAGTTGAGTCATGAGTTTTTCTTCCATTGGGAGAATTTTCTGTTTCCCTTCCCCTTCCCCCCTCCTCCCTCGCCACCCGGCGGAGACCAGGGATCCCACAGCGCCGCCCGGTGATGGGTGCTGGACATTGCAAGTTCCACTCCTCCAGTGATCCAACAGCGCCACCTGGTGACTACTTAGAACATTACAAGTTCTGCACTTTTTTGATAACTCAACAGCGCCACCTGGTGAATGGTATAAGACATTACAAGTTTTTGCATCTCCAGTGACCCGACGGCACCCCCTGCTGACTGTGGCTGGAACTGCACCAAAGAGTGCTAAAAATTGAACTATTTGATTTTCTTTTTTTGCCGGTTTTATCGGTTTTGTTCTTGAAGGGGATTATTGGTGGGTGTAGGGGTATTGCTTGGTTGTTTTACTTGTTTTTTTTTTCGTGTTCCTGTTAATACACACATACCTTTTAATAAAGGGCTGGGGGTTTTTTTTCCCTTTTCCATAATTTGTTTTCCTTCAATCGAAGCCTCTTAATTTCGGATCTATAATTGCTAGAAAAGAAGGTTTGGGTCTTTTTCTCCTAATCCATCCTCAGCAAAAGACCCTTGTCTCAATTAAACTGGGACATGGATCAAGGCTTGGACTTGATGATCTCAGAAGACCTTTCCAACCCATCTGATTCTATGATTCTATAATTCTATGAAAAGGGGGGAAAGGAGTTCTTCCCACAAACTCACTCTGTCAGCGGCTGGCTCCAGCCAGGACTCCCCCAAAGATTCCTTCACAGAAGGGCCAAGCCTCTCCGATGAAATCTGAACAAGTCTGGGCTGAGGGCAGAACAGGGCACAGAATGGAGGTGAACTGGGGCCAGAAGCAGCCAGATGACCTGGTCGAAATCAAAGCAAACTCAGAGTCCTTCCATGCACACATCCTCCTTGAGTCAGGGCAAAAGTGAAGTGCCTGCTGTTTCCTGAGGAAAAAAAAAACACCTCATCCCTTCTCCCCCACCCCAGTCTTTTGAAGGCTACCAGCCTGGAATGTGGGTCTGCTAGCTAGTTCCTTTGTGTGTGTCAGTCACCTTAGGCAAAAGCCCTCCCCCTTCCTCGTTCAACATCTTTCTTTCACAGGGATGCAGCAGAAAGGAAAAAAAAATAATTCCCCCCTTTTTTTTTTAGAATAAGTAAAACTATGACAAATGTAGACACTGCTGTCCCTGCAACCCGGAGCAGAGGACATCAGCTCTCTGCCACTTGTATCCTTTCTCTTTTCTTGGTGCTGAAAACATGTACCTCACTGGTCTTCACAACAACGTATGGGCCTAAATCCTACTGGGATCAACATTTTTTGGAGAGATTGGAGTTTCCTGAGAAATGATTTATGCTCCTCATCTTTTTCAACAGGTAAAATAGCCCATGTCTGAAGAAAAGTGGAACCTACACAAGTATTTTGAGTCTCCTGACAGGAACAAATCTCTTGGACAGGAAGATACATTCCCACAGAAGTAGTAGGGGAAAAATCCCAGTTAGCTGAAGACACCTTGATAAATGGATTCAGGAGATTATGGGCCACATTTGCCTGAGATTGCAAGGTCCTAGGCAGGATCACATAGGTGCAGATGGTCCTCTCAGTCCTGTTTCTGCATATTTCTGGGAACCAAGATGCTTCTGATTGTTTCAGCAAAACTATTTATGGCTGTCAGGAGAAACCAGCCCTTCCAGAAGGTTTTCTCCACTATTAGTTGTGAATGGGACTCAGAATAAAACCACAATAAAATCTCAACCACATTGGTAGGTTCCCCTCCTTTTCACCCTGTGAATAGGCTCTGCCTTCACTTCTGAATTGTCAGTTGCTCCTTAAGATTGCAGAGCCCTTTTTATGTTTTGTTTGGTTAGGGTTTTTATATCATTTGGAACTGGGGAAGGATTCCCTTCATTCACCAACTCCAGACCACACTGCCTCTGGAATACGGCCCACTGACTGATTTTTGTCCAGCCTTGGTACTTCTAGATGAGGAAGAAAGTGCAGTTGCATTTCCAGCCAAAACCAAGCAAAGAGTGGGGCAGCCAAAAGATCCTGTACAGGCGCAAGCTTTCAGCTGGGACTATAGAGCATTTGGGTTCCTACTAAGGGGATTTGTATCACTCATTGCAATCTCTTTGCCTGGATAAGACTCTGATGAAAAAGCAGAAAGATCAGTGAGTGTGCACCAAAAGGGCCATCACAACTTTTCTATTTTGTTCAATCTGCTTTAAGTTTGCAACTAAATGTAGGTCTTCAGTTGAGATGACAAGAGAAAAGAGGGGGCTCAGAGAACCACAGCAGGGCTGCCATGAAATGACAGGAGTCATTTGCATACATTTCACAGAGTTCTCTCAACCTTAATGAAATATTGCAGTCCTTGTTTAAAATAGACAAGTATGAGACAGTACTTTGATAGTAACTAAAAGATAGATAGACTAAAATAACTAATGGATTTTTTTTTTTGAGAATGAAGAAAAATACCCAAAATGTGTTGTTCTATAACATTAAAAAATATACCGCACAAAAATTAATTGCAATAAATAAAACATTAAAAAATAACTGTTTCAGTGTACAAAGAATGAGAAGCACAGAAATGTGAAGATATGAATGCATATTTTCATAAAAATGCAAAATTATGGACAAAACACACACACACTGAACTACAACTATAAGGTAGCTGCTAGATTTTACTTTAATTACATCGTTTTACACCACTACATTTTTTTCATTTCCAAAGGGAAGCTGGCATATAGCTAAGGGAAGCTGACATAGCTAAGACTCTGAAAATTATTTTCCTTCTTTTCTAGTACTGGATAAGACATCCTGGCTGAAGGACCTGATTGAAGGCAGAGAAAATCTGTTTGGTGTCACACTGTGGTATGTATCCATTGAAGACCCACCACCGAATTGGTATGGTCTCACAGAGAAGAATGCATCCACTGGAGGCCCAGAACTGATTCTGTCCACTAACGCACCAGAGGATATATCTAAAGACCCAGTACCAGTACTGATTCCTTGTGGTATCACGTTGGAGTATATGTTTCTTGCAGATACAATAAAGGTTCTGCTCCGCCTCACACCAGAGGATATGTCCAGTGAAGAGCCAGTACCAGCTCTGTCTGGCAACACATGGGAGGATATGTCCGGTGAAGAGTCAGTACCAGCTCTGTCCAGTATCATGCCAGAGGACATATGGATTAAAGGCACACTATAGGCTCTCTTTGGCTTTGCATGAGGGGACATGTGGATTAAAGGCAGAGTATGGGCTCTGACTGGCGTCACACTGGAGAACCTGTGAATTCGAGACAGAGTTCTGGTTCTGTCCAATATCTCACCAGGGGACACGTGAATTGTAAACCCAGAAGCGGGTCTGTCCATTATCTCACTGAAGAACACGCTTGTAAACTCAGTATCAGATCTGCCGGGTATTCCAGTGGAGGACATGTGGATTGAAGACCCAGTACCAGGTCTCTCTGCTATCCCACTGGAGGACAGGTGGACTGGAGGCTGAGTACTGCTTTTGTCTGGTATCCCACTGGAGGAAATGTGAGTTGGAGGTTGAGTACTGCTTTTGTCTGCTATCCCACTGGAGGTGAGGTGGATTGGAGATTGAGTACTGCTTTTGTCTGCTATCCCACTGGAGGAAATGTGAGTTGGAGGCTGAGTACTGCTTTTGTCTGCTATCCCACTGGAGGAAATGTGAGTTGGAGGTTGAGTACTGCTTTTGTCTGCTATCCCACTGGAGGTGAGGTGGATTGGAGATTGAGTACTGCTTTTGTCTGCTATCCCACTGGAGGAAATGTGAGTTGGAGGCTGAGTACTGCTTTTGTCTGCTATCCCACTGGAGGTGAGGTGGATTGG